TCTTCTCTTCTCTTCTCTTCTCTTCTCTTCTCTTCTCTTCTCTTCTCTTCTCTTCTCTCTCCTTCCCTCACTCCCTCCCTCCTTCCTTCCTTCCTTTCTTCCTGCTTCTTTCTTTCTTTCTTTCTTTCTTTCTTTCTTTCTTTCTTTCTTTCTTTCTTTCTTTCTTTCTTTCTTTTTTTCTTTCTTTCTTTCTTTCTTTCTTTCTTTCTTTCTTTCTTTCTTTCTTTCTTTCTTTCTTTCTTTCTTTCTTTCTTTCTTTCTTTCTTTCCTTCTTTCTTTCCTTCTTTCTTTCCTTCTTTCTTTTCTTTTCTTTCATCTTGAAATTTATTGAGTTCAGGTTCTAACCCTAATTCTGACTCTAGTACCCCTTCCCTCCTCCACCTTCTGTGAATTACTTTGAAAACTCATTCATGTCATGGTCCCATAAGATATTTTTGATCCAGTAGAACATGATATAAAGGGCAAAAATATGAAATTGTTGAAACTGGATCTTATCCATTTCTCGGTTTTCCTCACACATTCTCTGGATTTCTAAAAAAATGAAATTCAGATCACTTAAAGTTACTTTATATAGTTTAATGATGAAAAAACAGCATGGTAGAAGCCAGTCTTTATTTACTTGAACGTGTGTACTTGGCATTTATTCATGCTGTATTTATATTTATTGAGGGAGTATAGTAATTCATAGTAAAAATAAAGCAAATGAAATCTTCCCTGGATCAAATTCACATTGTACTTACTAACATCCAGTTACAACACATGCATATGCACGCATATCTCTAATCTATATGTAATTTATACATTTGTATATAATCTTTAAGTTTCTATGAAGGGGAAGGGGGCACATGATAGCTCTTATCTCCTAGGGTTGTTCTGAGGATCAAATGAAGTAATGTATGTTTGTTGCTTCACAAATCTTAACATGCTATGTAAAGTAAAGCTATTACATTCTAGAAGTAATTTATATATATGTATATATATCCATATATATATATATATATATATATACAAATATATCATATTTATGCCATGTCTATGAACAGATGGATGGATAGAATGACAAATATAATATAGACAAGTAGGTTTACAAACACTAAGTTTTGAACCTGTTGCCATTTTCATAGTCGAAAAACTGCTTTAAATCCCAGTAAATGACATGCTGGAATAGAAAGATAGACTTAGATTTCAGTTGCTTGGTTGGTTTTAGTTGAGTCTAGAAGCAAACTTTTATGACCTATGGGCTTCCATAAGTATTTTTATTAGTAATTGACAATAACCAAGTTTAATAGAAAAACACACAGTCACTAAATGTGTATTAAACAGTTTTGCAGCCTTGAACCTACTTTGCTTCCAGCATCATTAGCGACACCAACATCTGCTCTGTCTTCAAAGGGCCTCTTAAAAAATCCAAACTTTACAACTGTACTTAAAATAATCAGTAGAAAGCAGGTGATTTTGAAAAAAAGAGAGTCTATAAATAGTGTGAATTGCTTGGCTTCAATTACTTTTGAGTGCCCTCCAAACTCTGTGGTAATAGGAATAAGCTGCAGTTTGAGAGAGAAAGAAGCAAAGCAGATTGACTCCCCAATCTGACTCCTGTTTTTGCCCAGGAATTAGACTGCAGAGAAACAAAAATGACTGTAACCCAAGAAGGCTTTGATTTTTCCAGAAAGAACAAATTTGTACAGTTTTCATTAAAACAAAGTCATTATCAAGAAAGATACATCAACTTATTACTGAAGTGTGAAATAGTGATACTGGATTGACCAAAAGTCTGATAAAGAAACTTGCTAGCCTAAAATTATACTTGAAAGATATTGGAAGGAATAGAATTTGGGACGTGGGTTTTCCTTCAATTTTTAAATCTACCTTTCCACTGGGGCTCCAGCCTACTGGAGCCAGCCTACTCCTCACTGAATATGGACCTTGGAAACAGAACAATTCCTTTCTCTTTGTGGGTCAGACCGTGTATACGACGATGAGACTCTGACTAGTAAGGACTGTGTGATCTATGCCTCACTCTGGGCTCATTTGTGCAGTTTTTCATAGGATGCTGTTTGACTAGCTGTGATACTGGAAATGTACAGAAGTCTAATTTATGCACTTTTTTGTTCCTGGATGTGAAGTGT